AAAAAGAAAGTCTCGTCTTGGATCCACAAGAAAGTGAGAAAGCTATAAATGCTGTGTTGGTTTGATGTTGTTTCCTTTCACCTTCTTTCAACGACCAAGTAATTTTATACAACACACCCAACGTGACCCTCTCTGTACCCGTCATCCATCAAAACCCTCCCTGCATCCTTTCGATCATACCATCAATCAAAACCCTGATTCAGAAATGGAGTTTTTTACACACCCATCTCGTTCTTCACAGATTTCTTCTGTTACATTTACAAATTTGGTTGTCAAAGTCAAAGATTTCTTCAGTTCTGCAGTTTCTGCGATTCTTGGGAACGTCTTCTCTGCAATTTTCACCTTTTTCTTCGCATTAGGTTTGTGTTTTCTTCTTCTTTTCTCATTGAATCTGATGGAGATTGGCTTTTGATTATATGGGTTTTTTATGTCGGTTTTCTATATTATGAATCGGGGTCTCTTGGTTTTCTTACTTGGTTCTCGATTTGATGTGTTCGTAATCGTCAATTTGTTGAATTCTGGTTTGAAATTGGGGGGTTTCGACGTGAACACATGAAGAAACGTCGTGTTCTTAGTCGTTTTAACCTGAATTATTGATGAAATGATAGTGAACCCATGAAGAATTGGTAGATTACTCTCTTTTTTTCACCATTTTTCTTGCTCTTGATTGATGTTGTTTTGAATATGCAGTGGGTACTTTATTAGGAGCATTAACTGGGGCTCTGATCGGCCAAGAAACTGAGAGTGGATTTGTCAGAGGTGCTGCAGTTGGAGCCATTTCTGGTGCTGTTTTTTCGATTGAGGTCTTCGAATCTTCACTTCTTTTGTGGCAATCTGATGAATCTGGGTTCGGATGCCTTCTCTACTTGGTGAGCGATTCTATCATCTCATGTTCTTATGCTACTTTTTATCATGTTTTTGATGCATAACCATTCACAAAATTGAAGAAATTAAGAGATCAAACACAAGTGATGCTGTACAAATTGATGATTCTTAGTACAATCCAATTCACCATTTATGAGTTGCAATCGAATCTGATATCGATGCCATCATCCATGATTTTCTGGATCAAACATACAAATCCCAGTTGTTGGGACTTGGGAGATTTATCAATAGAGAAGAAAGATGGATCCCTTTTTTTTCATTAACCTGGATATCCAACCCGCCATGCGAGCCGACTAATACCACCTGTGTTCCTGGTAGCTCGGAGTCATCGCATTTGAAACTCCATGGCCACAAGGGGATTTTTTTCTCCTTAAATTTGAACCTGAGACCTCCATGCACTTTTGACCTTTGATTTCGTTAATCTTAACGCATATGGAGTTTGGTAACGAGATACGACCGAACAAAAATTTGTTGTACTAGGACATGACAGGGTTTGCTTTTTTGAGTTTTGCTAAATGCACCTTATCCTAATAATTTCCTTCTCTTAAACATTAACGTCTAAGACTTATTTTTTAAATTTACAGTGCATGATCTGACCTAATTCTGATATAAATAAGGGTACATATCGCATATAGCAAAAACCCTTTTTAAGATTAGTAAATTACTAAACTAACCATGACCCTGTTGCACAATTCTTCCACCCTCCTACCTTACTCTCGTGTGTCTAGTTTTGTCTAGTGCCATCTGCGTACTGAACGCATCCTAAATACCGAAAATGGTCATAATATGGCTCTGGCTCGAAAATTTAAATCTCGGTTGTCGATGGATTCAGAACTTTCCAAATATCTACTTTTACTTCATGAGATCTCATGTAACCCTCTTGAACTGAAAAGGGATTTTTCCCGTTTGGATTAGGATTCGAAGGCATCTCAACAAAATGGTTGATTTAAAGCCTTCTTGACCCAAAATATATCGAAGTTTTCAAGAGATATCCGGTCAGTGTGAAGAGAAGAGTTGATAAACTTCATCGAATTCATATTTATCATGGAAAATGATGATGAAATGGTGATCAATTCTCGTAACTTTGTTTTTCTATCGAACTTTTAGTCTCTTTATTAGCGATAAACCCATCGCTGATGTCACTTTTGTCACATTTACGACAGATCGACGTCATTGTAAGCTTGATAAGCGGAAGACTTGTTCGTGAGCGGATTGGTCCGGCTATGTTGAGTGCGGTACAAAGCCAGGTAAAGTTTCAATCAATTCCCAGTTTGTGTCTTGTTTCTACAATCTAATGTGGAAAAATGAAGTTCCCTCTTTTCTTATTGTTGATATTTTGGTGATCAATTTAGATGGGTGCGGTTGAAACGAGCTTTGATGAGGTTCATAACATATTTGACATCGGTGGTTCTAAAGGCTTGCCGGAATATTCGGTTGAAAAGATACCTAAAATCACCGTTACAAGTGACAACAATATGGATGATTCGGGGGAGAGAGTCTCGTGCTCTGTATGCCTTCAGGTAACACGATTTCCTCGTAGAATTGCTTGAAAACAAGATTTCTTGATCCATAGGTAGCTAATGGAAGTGTCGAAATGTATCTGCATTGAGCGAATGCTTAACATCGGATTCATCTATACCACTTTCCTTTGTTTCTTTGGCAACCATAAGTTTACTTATTTTTTTGAGATTATTGAAAAAGTACAGTTTGATTAACCATAAGCTAACTTATTGAAACGCTACTTCAAACAGGGTTTCAATAAGCTTTGGGTGCTTTTTTTCTACTTCTTTCCGGTTATGCCTTTTATAGTTTTCCTTTTAATTTTTTAACATGTCCTTTTTGGATCATTTCACATCAAGTAGCGTTTCAATAAGTTTCAGGGACTATTTTTCATTTTCCCCAATTATACCCCTAGTTAGTTTCTAGATGTCCTTTTAGGTAATTTACATTGTCATTTAGCTTATCAGTTAGTTTTTACTTAACATAACTTGTTTATCAGCTAGCTTATCGTCTCACTCTCTGTTTCTTGAAACACTTGGCTCGAGAATTTTAAACGATTTTGGAGTCTTAAGACCAGATATGGATCGTCATTCGGTTCTTGTTCCATTCATAAAACTTACCGTATTTGATATTTCTTCAGGATTTTCAACTCGGAGAAACTGTGAGAAGTTTGCCACAATGTCATCATATGTTTCATCTACCGTGTATCGATAAATGGCTGGTAAGACATGGATCTTGTCCATTATGCAGGCGCGATCTCTGAAAATATTCTTCTCTTCTCTGTAAATTCTGAAAAATGCGACATTTCTCGTATTCTGACACATAGAAGATGTTTTTTTATTTGTCTATATAAACCGTAAGTTATATAATACACGATGTTTTGTATACGATGACGATTATACTAGTTAGGGTATATAATATGTGTATCATGATACAGTTGAGAGTCGATGATTAGGTATAAAAAGTTGACATTATTCTACATTCGGAGTTTTATTCCACTCGAGAACTTTGGAATCTCTTGTTTCTCGACTTGGGGTGTTAAATTTTGCAAGTTATTGCTTTAGAACGACGCTCTTTTTGTCTTTTCTTCATTGAAGTTTGTTTTTTAAGTATATAATATTTGTATATAACAAATAATCATGCACGCTCTTCAGTCTTCACACTTGGTGAGATTTGAACCTTTGACCTCCTGTAACCCGAGTACCTAAGTTGGACCATGACCCTTTGGTGAGTGTTGTTCTTTTTGCACTCTGGGGCTTGACTCCGTACTATGGTTACAAACAAGAATAATCAGATCTACAAAGCACACCTGCAATTGCAAAGGTAGAAACAAAATCACAAGTGTGGTACCTGATTGGTTTGAGCTTGGGCTCTAATACGTCAAAAGTACATGGACGTCTCAGGTTCAAATTCAAGGAAATGTTGCGACTCCGGACTACCCACAAAGTAGGTGGTCGTTCTGGTATTAACCGGCTCGCATAGCAAATTGGATATTCAAGTTAATAAAAAAGAAGGTAGAAACAAAACCACGAATTATAGCCCGTGCAATAACAATAAACCCTCGAATAAAACATAACTTAAGACGCGCACGTGGACTGATGATCAACACCATCAAAATTAAGGCAATCTGAACAGCGGCAAACAAGAAACGCCAAAATAGCAATAAATAGTATTCTAACAATTAAGCTGCTACAAAACAGGTTTACAATTGTTATTTATACAAAGGTCGTCGGATTTTTGTAGATTTTGTGAAAACTGAGGACATTTTTATGAAATAGTAAAAGTTGGATGGCTTATTTGGCAAAACAATAAAATGGTGTGGTGGGTGCGACGGGAAAGATTCGCTGCTATTTTGGATTATTGTTGCGACCAGGTCAAGGATGATGTATAACTTCTTCTTTTTTATTTTGGCCACCCAATTTGTTTTCAAATACAAAATGTACCCCAACTTTAAAACTTATGTTGTCTATTTGTTAAAAATATTTTTTGTTTATATATATATATATATATATATATATATTTCAAATGCTATCATGTTTATTTGTACAACCAATGCAAACCAATTAATTGAGATATTTATAGAAATGATTGAAGTTCATTTATTATGATTTGAATATTTATGTAAAATAAATATAGTTCATTAATTATGATTAATACTTTAATATTAGGAAACAATCAAAACTTCTATTAAATTATATATTCATCAAATTAAATAGACGGTTAAGATTGAGTTGTATTGGTTATACAAATGTAAAGGATTATATAATAACTCACCTCTCTCTCTCACTCTATATATATATCTATATATATATATATATTGTTTCTATAAAGAAATCTAAAGCTTGTTAGATGTTAACCTTGAACGTTGATTGCCAAAAATTTACGATCAGTAACGGGGTTGTTTCTCGTCTCGAAGATCAAACAAACTGTTCACCGAAAATAGAAGAAAAAACGCTAGCATGTTGTTTTCCATGTCGCCTATATACATGTACACATTAATTTAAACAATATAATATATGTTAATTCCAAAAACCAATTATATGTTGTAGGATAAGTGTACCATCTTTTAAATGATATAATGATAGATATAATGATAGATATAAAGATAGATATATCAAAGTTAGATTAGAAGTGAAATATTTCGTAACTTATCCATGTAAAAAGGGCTTATGATTAATGAAAATTACATATATTTTTTTTTCTATTCTATTGTTGTTCTTTTTCAGTTATTTTATAACATTATAAAAATAAATTGATGTAAAAGAAAAGATTGTTAATGTTTGGTTTTATGTGCCGTCTTGAGGAGAAAAGACTTGGTCTCTAGATTTCAAAACCCATTAAGTAAATGGCACAGCAATTATAATATGTATTATATATTAGTATCGAATTATATATTATTTCTATTTTATATGATAAAATACATATTAAATTAGGGTTAAGTTTAAATGTAAAGACGGTCATTCGGGTCAAGTTCAAACGAGAAGGCGGATAATTTACGAGAAGGTGAGAAATTTCAACGTCATATATGATTACACGTAAGACACACACTTAATCATATATGATTAAACACATGTTGCATTCACCAAAACATAAAGGGTTACCTTGCTTCTTGACCTTTAGTCACATTCACCAATTCACCTGCATGCCTTTGGAATCGATATGTCTAATCATAGATGGATGATTAAACGTCTGTATCACATGTAATTATATATGATTTTGAAACTTTTCACATTCTAGTAATTATCAAATACCAACTAAACAATACACAAATGATGGACCAAATAATTGAGTTTATGAATGGGTCATACACATTTTTTTTAAAAGTGTGTGTTTGTGAATATATATATATATGAAAATAAGACAGGCTGAAAACAACATGAAACAATTTAAATTACCGGCTTAACGCCAAAAGCCCAATGCTTCCAATACCCCATCCCTTTGAATCAAGTTTCTTCAAGAACAAATAATCCAAGTGAAAAAAGACTTAGAAATTATGGGAATTTAGTTCTCGATTTTCCGAAAAAAGAAGACGGAATTCTTTTCATTGATGGCCGATAAGCAACCGGTTTCTTCAGAACCACCATTTCCGACCGAAAAGCTTGACGATTCGATCTTACAGAACAAGTATTTATGGTTAACTCTCGTCATCTGTAGCATCATCTTCTTTGTTTCCCTCTTGTTATGTGTATGCAAGAAGAAGAAGGTGTTAACGGCATTCAGGCAACGAATCATGAATAATAATGGTGTGTTTAATTACTTATCGAACTTTCGTATTTGGTAATGATCATGATTTTATGTGTGTTTATTTGAAAATTTGGGAAATTTTGTAGATAAGATGGATGCTAAGGAGTTGATGTTGAGGAAATTTAAAGTCGAGGAACTCGAGATTGCTACAAACCATTTCGCAAAAGAGTGTCTGATAGGATCCGGTGCATTTGGGAACGTTTACAAAGGAACATTTGAAGAGAATATAACGCTAGCGATCAAAATGCCGCACGATGAATCCTATACCAGTATAAAAGAATTTCGAAATGGTACCCCTTTGATCATTTCTCGGTTAATTTTCTTTTCGGTATGATGTGAACCATTCATTTTTCCATGTGATATAGAGGTGAGGCTAATCTCGAAGGTGAAGCATCGGAACCTGGTCGGTCTAGTCGGCTACTGTGAGCAAACGGGTCGGTAATTAAAACCCTATCTTATATTCGTCGTTCATAGTCTGTAACTCAAAATTGTTCTGACCGAATATGGTATCTGATTATAGGAAGGAGGGGAGTGCAAATATTGGTTTATGAATACGTTCCGAATGGTTCGTTGCTCGAACATATCGTGGGTAAGTTTAAAATAATTAACAAATTGTTCATCGATCGATGATTTATTGTATCATGTTAACTTGTTGATTCGAAACCCTAATGGATAAAATGTTTAAAGGCAGGGAGAGAGAGCCCTTAAAATGGAGGCAAAGAGTAAACATAGCCATCCAAGCTGCTAAAGGTGAGCATGTTTCTTTAAATCGAGTCAAAACCGAACCTAAACCTGACCACGATTGTCACTTGTCGAAGTCGGCTACATTTTGACCATTTTTTTCCGATACATATCTACTCGCATCTCAATGGTTCTTTTAGAAAGTAATCGGATAAGGTTTCATGTATTCTTACGTGGTACGAGAATCTAGAACAGACCCACTTTATAACTGTATATATGTTCACAAAAATCTGGTTTTCAGGCATAGCTCATTTGCACGAAGGAATTAAACCGAGCGTGATCCATCGAGACATAAAACCGAGCAATATTCTCATTGGAGATGGGTTCGAGGCGAAAGTTTCGGATTTCGGGTTAGTGAGATTGGGCCCAGCCGGGGATAACTCGTACGTGAGTAGCCAGATCAAAGGCACACCGGGCTACCTTGACCCGGCCTATTGTACGAGTTTCCATTTGAGCCCGTTTAGCGATGTTTATAGCTTCGGAGTTATTCTCTTGCAACTAATTTCTGCCCGGCCTGCTGTTGATACGAACCGGAGTCGATCCGGTTATCACATCATCGAATGGGTAAGAAAGAGTTCTATTTGCGTTTGAAAACTAGAATGGTCAAATAAGGAATTTCCATACGACCCCTTGTACTTTTTTGGTTTTTCATATCTACCCCTAAACTATTTTAATTACCAAAAGCACCTTTGAGAAGTTGACCAAGTCGTCAAAGGTGTACAATTTTTTTCTTCATGTTTATGACTTTAGCCTTGAAACCCGATCAAATCGACCGAAACTAATTTACATTCAAATTTAATTTATAGTTCAAGGAGCTACGTTGTAATTCAGTAATAGTACAAGGGGCTAAATGTAAATATATATACAGGTGAGACCTCATTTAGAGCAAGGCAGAGTTGAAGAAATCTTGGATACGAATCTGTTGCTGGAGCCATGCAACATGGAGATCATGCTTAAAATGGGCCTATTGGGCCTAAGATGTGTGGTCAAAGAGCCCAAACAAAGGCCCACCATGACTCAGGTTTTCAAAGAGTTAGAGGCAGCCCTCCGATCAGCCGATGGCTTCGTCCACCGCCAACTGCCGCCACGATCACTAGAGGCATCCACCGGTCGTAGGTCGTTAGAGCTTCAGGATCACCAAGTGGTGGAGCATGATAGTTCCATAAGTGTAGATGGTGTTGGGCTTCAACGATTTCGTGTAGACATGGAGAGTGTCTCCTTACAGAGCACGAGCCTGAGATGTTTAGAAGCAGATAGTTTCGTTTTTCATGTTGATGACGAGGGTAAAGCAGTCGAGGAAATGGGCCTTTGTATGGATGAGTATTTAAGTATGCCTCGAGATTGATGTATCAAACTACATAAACAATAATTTATCGATTTATATGGAATCACTCTGCTAATCCCTAATTTTTACCTGTAAAAATAGCTATTGGAAACATTTTATAACTTCTTTTCGGTTGCTAGAACAAAACATCCAAAAGGGTATTTGCAATGAATCCTCCTGTTAGGCCGTCACTGTAATAGACAGTCATGCATTACGATTGGAACTAGCAACGTCAAACCAAAACACCTAACAAAGCATTATCTCTTCTTGAAAAGAAGATAATTCAGCCGCACCTTCCAGCCGGTGAACGGCGGCCGTAACTATAACGGTCCTAAGGTAGTGAAATTCCTTGTCGGGTAAGTACAGCTTAACCTTGTTACGATCTCATTCACTCCAGTCACCAATTAACCTTCCAACCCTGCCATTTGCATCCCCCTCCAATCCAACATCAAGACAAACTGGGCACTACAATAAGACATGAAAACACCTGATCCCAATCCAACCTCAACATGTGGAATCATCTTCAACCATGTGTACCGAGACTGTTCAGGCTTCGGTTACACAAACAATTGAATTATGAGTGTTTTAATTTGTGCGACTAAACCACAAACCAGATTTGAAGATAAAAGGTAGATGGATGTAGTTGAAGGTAGATGAATATAGTTGAATAAAATTAAGTTAGATTAAAAGGTCAATTTATTCAAATACTCTCTCTCATAACACTTTTGATTGGTTGGTTTTACGGCAAGTGTAGCGTTATCACTCATCAACATCCGAAAATAGTGACCAATCAAACATAGTACAAGTTTCAACAAGATCTTGAAAGGCAATCTGAGACCATCCAGGTGTCAAATAATGTCCAACAAGGCATCTGTTATCCTAATAGGATATGCCACATGTAAAAGCCCCATTGGTACACCTGATCTCCAAGTTGAAGATGAGGCAGCCACAAATAGAGTGGGCCCACAGACCTCTTTATGTTACAGGTGTGTACCATTCTTTGAACTGAGAGTAGCAGTAGCAGTAGCAGGCATTGAAGAAGATGGCAACACAAGGTTTGGTATCATCATCTCTAACCTCCACAGTTGAGGGTGGTAGGCAAATCTTGGGTGGAAGAAGACCATTTCAAACCTCATCAAGAAAGCCTTCATTTGTTGTCAAAGCTGCTTCTACTCCCCCTATCAAGGTTCTCTCTCTCAATCCCCCTTTATATATATATATACATGTATGTGTGTGTTGATGAGTACTTGACATCTTCTCCTTTGTATATCAGCAAGGAGCAAACAGACAATTGTGGTTTGCATCCAAGCAATCTCTCTCCTACCTAGATGGCAGGTAAATCTTTCATCTTCCTATTTACAGACAAACTCAAAACCATACTCGTCAATTTGACCTATAAACTTTTCGAATATGCAGTCTCCCAGGCGACTTTGGGTTTGACCCACTTGGTCTCTCAGATCCAGAAGGCACTGGAGGGTTCATTGAGCCCAGATGGCTAGCCTACGGAGAAGTCATCAATGGACGGTTTGCCATGCTAGGTGCAGCCGGAGCCATTGCACCAGAGATTTTCGGAAAGCTTGGTCTCATCCCAGCCGAAACCGCCCTCCCATGGTTCCAAACCGGTGTCATCCCCCCAGCCGGCACCTACAGCTACTGGGCAGACCCTTACACCCTATTCGTTATGGAAATGGCACTCATGGGTTTTGCCGAGCACCGAAGGTTCCAAGACTGGTATAACCCAGGCTCCATGGGAAAGCAATACTTCTTGGGCCTAGAGAAAGGGTTTTCGGGATCAGGGAACCCCGCGTACCCAGGTGGGCCCTTCTTCAACCCGTTGGGGTTCGGGAAAGATGAAAAGTCAATGAAAGAGTTGAAGCTAAAGGAAATCAAGAATGGCAGATTGGCTATGTTGGCTGTGTTGGGTTACTTCATTCAGGGTCTGGTCACAGGGGTTGGACCATACCAGAACCTTTTGGACCATCTGGCTGACCCTGTCAATAACAATGTCTTGACCAGCCTTAAATTCCACTAAAGATTCTTTTCTTATATGTAATATCATGTGCACAGTTTATATGGAATACTATAAACTAATCATGTGTTAAGGTTGTCGGAACCTTAAATCGTTGCTGTTCATACACTAGAGATCCGGAAAAATTATGTAAATCCTCAGAGGAAAACCTCGTTGAGTTTTAATGGACGAGATTGAGATAAACGAGTCACCAGATCATGCGGCTTGAGCTACAGCTTCAGGTGCATCAGCCCTGCAGGTGCACATAGAAAATTATTATGGTTGCACTTAATACACTAAAGGCCCTATCTCGTGTAACATCTTAGGCTAACCGTACCAGATATTGTCCGGTCTGTCCACACCTGGACTCACGATTTTAAAACGCGTCTAGTAGAGAAGGTATCTAGTCGGCTAGTCCCTTATTAGGCAACCTACATTCCCCTCCCAACTGATGTGGGATCTTACATTTGGTTTGCAGGATTTGATAGGATTAGAGGGATTTGAAATTGAATTACATTCCAAAATCCAATACCATTGTTTGGTTTGAAGGAATGTTCACAAATCCCATGGGGATAGTTGGTATTTTTGTAATAATGTTTTAAAATATGTTAAAACACTTGCTTTTAATAATCAATTAATAAAAAGGTAATTTAATTATTTTTATAATTTTTTATATTTATTTTCATAAATTATATATAAAGAACGGAATTCAATTTCATTCCAAATCCAACAAACCAAAGATTCCAAATTCTTCCACGAATTCCAAATCCTTCAAAAGCATTCCATCAAACCAAACGTGCCCTAAAAATGCATCAAAATATAACGAAGTTTGTCTTAGTTCCTATTTTGTGTAACAAATATATTTGTTTTCTCATTTAGTGTAACTAACGTTCAATTCTTCCTATATTGTACCAATTTTACCTCATAAAGAAGTTTTTAGCCTACCGGGTTGATTTTGCCCTGATATTTTTCCATGTCTTGACAAATTGGCATCGGCACAAAACGAGAACAACTGAATGTCTGTTACACCAATTAAGGGAAAAAATCAGAGGTACACTAAATAGAACTAACACCAACTTCATGAATTTTGATGCATTTTAACCGTACACTGATCATACAGCTTTCGCTTTTGGGGCATATTTTAGGGGCAGTTTGGTTGGTTTTCCATTAAGTCCTATGAGAACAAAGCTGCCTGTGTGGATTAATCTATCTATGTAGATTGGGAAGGTTCCCGTTTGGGAGAGCTTTTTAATTGACGGAATGAGCATCTTCTTTTAATTGGGATGGCAGATTTGAAAAAAAAAAATTGGCTTTATTCATAAAGGTCCCTCCTAGAATCTTACTGAATAAGCCACTTTCTATATCATTAAGCCACTACCAAACAGTCATATATAACTGACCGAATAAGCAGTGAGGCCCATTAAGCTGCTAACAAACAGACCATTAGTTTTGTATAGCCTTTTACCTCTGAAGTCCTCCAACTTCCACTCTTAGAAAGTTTCCAATTTTCACACGACATCCCACTTCCTTGGATAGTTCATCCAAGAGCGTCTGCACAAGATTTTAATATTAAAAAGTTCAGTCATAGTTTCTATAATGTCGCATAAAACACGAATTGAGATACCCACATACCTTTACATTGATGGTGTCATTCACGATAAATTTTTGCTCCATCAGAACAACTTCTTCAAAATACTTCCTTAATCGACCTTCAACCATCTTTTCTATTGCTGCCTGTGGCCTACCCGAACTTTTCAAGACTGCTGTCTCACGCCACGTTAAGCCTGTGGCACGCCATGGCCCAATGCACTGTTTTTGTAACTCGATATTTGATTCTTCTAACCTTTTTAGTTTTTAGTATATAACCTAATTTGAATTGTTTTATATCATTGACTCATTAAGTAATAGTAAAAAACATATGTGTATGTATATATAAGTATATACAAATTTGTCGCCATAGGTCATACCTTGAAAAATGTTGTGGCTCCTAAGGCTCGAGCTTGACCTGGCCACGCCACAGGCTAATTAGAACCTTGACTCTAAGTCATGAGGTATAAGTTCATACCATTATGGCTAAAGCCGTGTTTTAGTACTTGAAAGTCCAAATTAACACATTGGTACCAGTATTACATTCTTTCATGCAAGTTGTTACACCCCCAATGGCTATATTTGATGCGAGCCAAGCCAAACTTCCTTGGCTTGTGAAATAAGTATGTAGGCTCGGACTTTGTTCAACGAAGGCTTAAGCCATGGCTCAACTCATTCAGATTCCGTTCCATTAAACTTATATAGTCATTGATATGAATCAATTGGCAAAATCAAGATTAGCGGCCAAAAATACCACTAATCGGATGCTTATTAAAATAAACCATGGAATTCGAGACCCAGTAATCTCCAATGTCTACGACAAGAATCAAAATACTAGAATCAATGCCAACAATGGGGTGGCCGGTCCCTTAAATAAAGCCGTACCCTAATCCTAAAAAATATACCCTAATCCTAAAAAATAGGAAAACATATTTATCCTAATAAACTAATTAATATCTATCCTAATCAACTAATTAAGAATAAGTAAATTGCAAAATTAAGATAATTAAGAATAAGTAAATTGCAAACAGCCCCCCTTTACTTGTTTCCTGCCTCTCTTTTGCGAAGCTGATATATCCGACCCCAGTGCGGGTCGGGCTGAGACGTATCATTACCCCCGCCTCGAAAATTCACTTTGTCCTCAAGGTGAAAGCCAGGGAACTGCTCCACCACCTGAGTGTACCGACACCTCCATCGCATCCAAGTGTGGTATTACCTCTTCCCCCTCATCATCTTCATCATCCATTAACATGATCCGCAGGGATTTCTCGGGGCAACGGTGTCCGGGTGTGAACTTCCCATCGCATTGAAAACATAAGCCCTTAGCCCGTTTATCCGCCAGTTCCGAGTCTGTCATCCGTTTAAACGGCTGCTCGTTACCCCCTGTTGTCGGTCGTTGGGTTCCCGTTGGTGGGGCGGCAAGCGGCCGTGAGCCCCCCACTCCGGTCCGCACTGGCTGACTTTTGTTTTCCCCTTTTTCCACGTTCCCATTCCTGACAGTTTTATTTTCATCCACCATCAGAGCTAGTTGGATCGCTTGGTCTAAGTCCATTGGTTGAAGCAACCTCACGGAAGTTCGTAGCTCCGGTTTCAACCCTTTTAGGAATGTACCCTGCATAATCTTCTCAGGAATACCCCTTAGCTGTGCCGATACTATTTCAAATTTCCCTATATACTCGCGTGCCGACCCTTCCTGTTTAATTGCCAAAAATTGTTCGTATAGGTCCCCTTCCTGAGATGACTGGAACCGCGCCAACAACCGGTTTTTTAATCCTTCCCAGTGACGAAAAGGATGCCTATCATCACTCCATCGGTACCATGCAAGGGTATTGATAAGCCTACTGTACGTTTCACATATAAAAGAAGATTTAAATAGTTTAATTGTAAGTAAGTGGAGGGTAGTTGGAGGGTAGTTTGGGTATTCTTCTGAATAGAATATTTGTGACAGCCTTTATAATGGGGAAGTTGGTTAGAGGTGTGGCATTCTGTTTTGTCAGTTTGAAAAGGAGC